AAGACGAACAACTAATTCTAAAATTCTTAATTATCATCCATAATCTCAGAAGAATTTAGTTTCTAAAATCGTTCAAGATCGCACGATCTCACGATTTTGTGCGCGATCTTCGATCGATTCTTCAAGACCCACAATTTTTGTCCGATTCAGATCGTTGAAGCCCCTTAACATCATAAAATCGTGCGATCTTAGGATTTAGATCGCGATTTTAACAACCACTTAAAACAAAACACAGCGAAAGGACCTCTTCTGCTTCTAGACATTTCACGAGGACGAACATTCCAGAAAAGTTTAGGAGAACTCTCAAACTCATATCATGTCGTCATCCTAAATACAAGAGATAACAAAAATTAGTTCAAGCAATAATTTCAAACTTCTAAAGAGCGATTGCGAGGGAGATCAAATATGATAATCACAGATAATGATCCACTTGTGTAAATCACAAATCTCAGGAAGCAGTAAATAATCATCCGCTTCACACCAAGGGTAAAGGCAAGCAAAAGCATGCCCACGGGGATAGCAGCTTCAAAGCCACCAGGCACCAGCGGTGGATAGTCAGTAATCAGAGCAGCAGTCAGCCTGTGAGGTACCAGTAACCCAGAAGATCATATTACACGAGGACTGGCACCCAGTTACCTTTGTTGGAGGTGTCTTTTACGTCAGTTAAGTTGGTTAGATATGTAAGGTGATATTCATCTAAATTATAGTTTGATACTAATTTTTTTTGCCTAAAAGATTAGCTTTCCTGGCACTTTGGGGTCTGTATGGTTCGTAGAAAGTCACTTCAGAAAATTATTTTCTACATTTTCATGTGTTTGGTAGTTAATTGAAAGGAAAATGACTAGTACATTGATTTAATACACTTTTTTACATTTATTTGATGTAACTATTAAAAATATAATATAAGTATAATTAATTCAGTCAATTCCTATTTTTATGTGTGTGTGATTATATTTTTAAATGTCTATTTTTAATTTTAAACTAAAAAATGATAACTATTTAATAAGTATGTTATATAATATATTAAATCAAAATATATACTAATCACTGTCGTAATTGAAAATCTAGTCATCTAAAAACATGTTTAGACAATAGAAAATACTCTTGGCATTTTTCAGACCAAAAAGTGTTTTTTAAGAAATGTTCATAAAATTATTTAAATACTCTTAATAAATCTCTTTTGTTGATTTATTAGGAATTTTTAATTAATTTCATTAATATTCCTACAATTTTTTCTTGCAAGTTGACATGAAAATCCACAACCCCTTTTTTCTGTAAAGCAACTTCTAAATAAATTTTACAGAAGTTGTTTTCTATTGCTCAAAAACATGCAAGATTAAAAATATGCATATATTAAAAATATGGATATATGGCAAATATAATAGACTAAACTGATAGAAGGATTCAAGATATACATTATTATCATATCTTATAAGAAAATGATTGGTATACACTCAATTTAATATATTTTTAAGACTCGTCTGGTTTAACTATTAAAAATATAATATAAATATAATTAATTTAATCGATTCCTACATCTTATGTATATGATTGTATTTTTAAATTTATTTGCTTTAATTTTAAATTTAGAGATATTAATTTTTTAATAAATATGTTATATGATATGTTAAACCATAATATGTACCAATTATTATAATCAAATACATATACAGACGGGTTAATTGGGCAAGTCAAAAAGGTTGTCTCTTATATCATGTAACTCTAAATAAAAAAAAATACGATCATATTTTGTTTTTCGTAAATACAATTATTATCACATCCGCTATGCCAATTTTCTTTTTATTATTATTATTTATTCAAATGTAAACCACTGATTGCTAAAAAAAGTAGTTTTATATTTTATATTCATATACATATAACATATTGTAAATTCACATCTTCTTGACCATTCATAAGAAATTATATCAATAGTTTGAAACTTATATATATATATATATATATATATATTTAACAGGACATGGCAAATGATTTAACCTATAAGAGGAACAACTATACATACTTGAACCCTCATCAACTGCTGAAGAAGCCTTTTTATGATAAAGTTTTGACTAGTTAACCTGATTGGGTGTGAAAAGTGTAGTCCTAGATTCTAAAAAGCACTTCTGTTCCCGTTCCAAAACTTCCCCCAGATCAAAAAAAATGTAAGGATAACCCTTTTTTTTTTCCCAATATGTAGAAGTAACTAATAAACTAATAGCATATAAATCTGTAGAAAAAAAAAATCTATTAATACCTCGAAGAAAGTCATTTTGGCCTGTTAGGAACAGATGGAGAGTGGCCTCCTCATGGATATTGTAGTCTGCAAGAGTCCAGTCGTCCTCAAGCTCTTTTCTGGCCAACATGAGCCGCTGCCGGTGAGGAGGGATGCTCTCCTTTTTCTGAATTTCCACCTTCACATCGTCGATTTTTTTGTTGGAGCTCTCGACCTCCAATGAGATAGTCTTCCCAGTCGCTGTATTGATGACGAAGATCTGCATCCCCCATACGAACACTTGAATTATTCTCAACATTATTATAAGAAATTAGGAAATCATAGTCAGCTTAGGCTAGGCTTTGTTTGAAATTGCCATAAAATATCATGACTGTAGTTTTTTTAATTAATATTTTATGATAAAAAATTATATTATTGTTTGATGATTATTTTGAAAAGAATTATATGCATTGAAATGATGACTAAATTATAAAAAAAAATTCGAATTTAATTTAATCATAACAAATAAACACTTTTATGAAGCGTTGTGTGAAAAAGTATTGTGGGAAATCAATCTTAAATGTAACCTTAAACCCCTTAATTAGAAGACCTTTAACTATTTCTCTTTGAGACCATTAACTCCTCAATATACAATTTGTGTAGTTTAGCCCAAACTTCACTTTATTGTTGAAATTGTCCTAAAATAAATAGAATTTCATAACATGAGTCACACGGCTATCTCTACTTTTACCCTATCCTCATCAATGTCATGCATGTTGGCACAAATATGACCCATGGAGGCGGGAAAAATCCCACCAAGGATACGACTCATGGGTAGTTTGGGCAAGATTTTTTTGTTTCCATGAGTCCAGCTAAATCATATTTATGTTAGTGCATGGCATAAATAAGGATAGGGTAATGGATTAGAGATGGTCACGTGATTAGATGATGAGATTTTGTTTATTTTAGGCCAATTATAGTAATAACATAAAATTTGAGTTAAAATATACAAATTGTATTTTAAGGGGCTAATGGTCAAAAAACAAATAGTTTGAGGGCTTCCAAGGGGTTATGCCTTTCTTAGTCTTTACATACAAAATGCGGCACCGTTTCATATGAAACAGTGCCTTCTTTACAAGAAAACGCTAATGGGCATTAATCTATATAGCTATTTTCAAGTACAATGATTAGGAATGATACTTGCTAAATGGTACATAATTTTAAAATATAGGGATATAACTTCTTACACTTAATATTTAATCAACTATCCAAAAATTGGTGATCCTCACGTTCTGACTCAATATTCTATGGTTACTTTCGTTAAATATATATATATATACACACATATCCAAAAACCGATTCTTGATACCTATAACTCAATGACTACCGAATAATTTGCAGGTATACTTACTTACTTGTTTAAGTATTTTGCAAAAAATTGAGAATAAATCAGTAGGGAAAAAAAATATCTATTGATACCTTAAAGATTGGACTACTATAACCGCCGCGAAGACGGTGCATCAGGACGAGGGTGGCCTCCTGATGGATATCATAGTCTGCCAGAGTCCGGTAGTCCTCAAGTTGTTTTCCCGCAAGTATGAGCCGCTGCCGGTCAGCAGGGATGTTCTCCTTTGCCTGAATCATCGCCTTCACATTGTAGACTGTGTCGGAGCTCTCGACCTCCAGCGAGAAAGTAAACCCGGTCAAGGTTTTGACTAAGATCTGCATACCACCACGAAGACGGAGGTGCATGGGAGAAAAAAGGGTAAGACTTGAATTATTCTCAATATTATAATGTGCAAGAGTGCGGTGGTTCTCAAGCTCTCTGCCCATCCCAATGATCTGCTGCCGATCAACAGGGATGCCCTCTCTCGCCTGAATCTTCCCCTTAACATCTTCTATTGTGTCTGATGGCTCGAGGTTAAGCCATATATTCTTACCGATTGGGGTTTTTATGTGGATCCGAACAGAACCGGGTAGATGCGAGTCCTGGGAGGGCACCAGGTGAAGGGTTGAATCTTTGTCAATGTTGTAATCCGCCAGAGTGCGGCTGTCTTCGAGCTGTTTTCCGGAGAAGAACAGCCGCTGCTGATTCGGAGTGATGTTTTCGATTTCTTGAATCTTCTTCTTAACATGGCCAATCGTATCCGAATCTTTAACTTCAAGGCCGATCCTTCTGTCTGTTTGGGTAACGATGAAGATCTTCTGTCTGGAAAAGGGCCGGGAACTTCCCTCTTCGGCACTGTGACCCTGTTCCCTCCGGAGAAGGTTAAGAGTTGATCCATTCTGTATGTTATAATCTGCCAAAGTGCAGCTTTCCCTCAGCTGTTTGCCCCCGTAGACGAGCAGCTGCTGATAAGTAGGGATTCCCTCCTTATCCTGAATCTCCTCCTTCACATCACTGATAGAATTGGAACTATTCACCTCGATCGTGATCTTCTTGCCTGAAAGGGTTCTGACGAAAATCTGCATCCCGTCGGCATACAAGGTGAGGCGAGGAGAGTAAATGACGATTTTCTCGCGTTAAGAGCACTCCTGGAGAGGGGACGCTGAAAAAGAAAGGAACCTGAGACCGCCTAAAAAAATTCTCAGAAACCAATCAACACTTTAAAAATATGTCCACCAAATTTTTTTTCATTCTAAATTACTAAAAGTATGATTTGCCTGCCCAAATTTTTTAAAGCGATTTTTTTTTTTTCGTTTAGGACATTATAGGATTTTACATAAACTTCATTTAACTTCTTTAGTTTGACTAGAGGGAAGATAAGGCAAGGACAAGGAGATAAAATTTCCCATTATTTTGTAACAAAAATTCAAAGAAGAGGGGCTTTCCTTTATTTTATTTTGTAACTTTAGTATAAGCAAACAAGTAATTAAGGATGAACCGACACTTGGGTCTAATAGTTTACCTCTAAATTTAAGTGTTTGGGTGTAATTAGTCAAGAGTTTAATTTTCATCAATTATTTAAAAAAAAATTTCTTTTTTAATAATTCCTCATGTTAAAAATATATATAATTAAGAATTGTTTGGAATAATAATTTTAATTGTAATTATTAATAATTTAAATATTTATTAAATTAAATAAAATTATTAACTATTAATTTCAAACTATTATACCAAATACCTTATAATTATTAGTTTCAAGTTATGTAAAATACTATAACCTTAATATTAATTATGATTTGCCCACCCAAATTTTTTTCTTTCAAATTCCATCCAACACCTTTTTCTTTTTTTTCATCCAATCAACACTTCAAAAATTAAAGGTTTTTTTTTTTTTTTTTTTTTTTCTGGGGTATTTTATGGGACCTCTCCTGCGCTCCAACGATGTGATGTGGGATTATGGTTATAGTGCCCACTTAGCTTTTAAATGCTCTCCATCGTTAAAGGTTCACATACTTATAACTTTTTTATATCGAATTTCTTTAGGTTCACATGTTTATAACTTTTTTACATCGAAACTTCTTTGCCAAGAAATTGAGTTCTCTTTTTTGCCAAGAAATGGAGTTTTTATAAAGATGAACAAACCTTTAGATTCTCCATAACGGAGGAGACCTGTCCCCTAAAGAAAAAGGGCTATGGAGATGAATTAATGCCCGCGGATTGGGGCAGAGCAGAGGTCAATTTTAAGCTTCTTTTTTTTTTTTTTACCTCAAAGCAAAACAATTTTATTTCCATGAGTAAACGGGAGTACTCAACTGATACCATACAAGCATAATAAAATGTATTAAAACAGATTGAACCCAAACTCCTTAAACTTGAATCCCAGAAGAATTTTCGCATCCCGGGATCCATCTAGTGTTTGGCACAAGAAGTTGAAGGATGCAATTTTAAGCTTTGTTCGTGAATGCTATATTATGCTATTGTGGTGTTGTTATAATTTTTTTTAATCTTAAATATATATATATAATATTAATTTAAATTAGTAAAGACATATAAAATACTAATTAAAATTAACTAAAAATAATAAATTTATTTTTTAAAAATAAAATAATATATAAAAAAGATCTATATAAAGCATTGTGAAAAGAAGCCATAGTCATACTTTGCGTCAAGCTTTTGAAGGGGAGGGAAAGGCAACAGCAAGCCAAGAGTGATGACCAATTGGTGGGGTTCGAATTCCTCTTCCTTCCAAATGAAGGAAGAAAGACCTACTATTGAAAGAATGTGAATCCTTGCTTCTCAATTTGGGTCATATGATAGAAAATAATAATTTTTTATTTTATAAGTCATTTTATTTATATATTATGTGATTTGAATTTATGATTTTTTATTTTTTTTAAAAAAAATTATAATTAAACTACTTATATTATTAAAAAAATATTTTGTTATGGTATTATCAATTAGTCATAGTTGAGGGTTTAAAAATAAAAATAAAAATAAAAACGTAACTTTGTGAGTTGGGCTATTTTCCAGTATTTTCATTTTTCTTTTTTTTAAAAGATAATTTTCATTTTCAAACGCCAAAGTTTTCTACTCGTTTTTCATCGTCCATGTTTTCACTAATGATTCGTGAAAAAGGACTAATTGTCAGAAAATCCTTTTAAAAAATGTATTTTCAATTGCTTGAAACACCCTGAAAAACATTTTCTCCGTTTTTTTTTTTGGGCCTCTTTAAATGTTTAAAATTTTATCAGCATTTAACGTTCGAATAAAATATTATTATAGCATATATACAATTAAAAAATAAAATTATTTTATAATTTAAATTGTAAAATATTTTTTAATTATTTTATATTGAAAGATCTAATTAGTAATTATAACCTTTAATCAAGCTTTTACAATAGTAAAAATCGATTCGGCCGAACCCCTTTATATGAGTTTAAATTAATTATTGAGCTTTTTTTATGGCCATAGAAATGTTGAACTTTTTGTTTTTGTGCGAGTTTATCCACCTCTAGTAAAGCCGCGTGCTGTCCTGATTTAAGTTCATTTTAGTTTTTTCGTTTTGTTTTATATCTTCTAACTAATTGAAGCCCGTTAACATCATGCTTAGAACAAAATAGTAAAATCAATTTATTATGAATTGAAAGTTCTACACCGACGCAGCTTTCTAAAAAGTACCTCAGTATAAAAAAATATATATTCAGTTTAAAATGGAGTTTGGGGATTAAGTTTTTATTTGTTAGACAAGCTTATAATACATACATATATATATGTGTGTGTGTTTATTTTTTTTTTTTCAGATTCTAAAGACTTAAGATTACTTTAAATGATTTTTTTTTTCAATGAAAGATTCCTTTATATGAATTCATAGTTTAACATTCTGTTCCAAAATTATACTCAAACAAAACTTTAACAAGAGTTACAGTTAAGTCAAACAAACTTAGAAAGGTATTGATTTGGTCAGATTAATTATTCTTTCTATTGTCACTAGACATTTGGACCAGCTTAAGCCATGATATTTAAGCATTCCAATTATCATTAATTGCAGATACATATGACAAAGTATGTCTTGAACATAACAGGGCAAAGATTTTCCGAATCAAAGGAAGCCAATGAGAAAAGAATACAATCACTATTGCACAATACAATAACACCAAATCAAATGAATATAATACATTGCAGTCAACACTTGGCTTTTATTTATCTCACCATTCACCAGCCTTTGAAACCCCTGACCTAAGGGCCAAGTAGCCAACAGGACTCTTAGCAACAAGGATATCACAAAAAGGAGATCCTGTTTTACCTTGGATCACATCTAAAACTAGTTCTTACAACCATACACGGTCCTCAAATCTTCCATTATCATTTTCAGTCAGTTGAAGATCTGCTGGTTGCTTTTTGAAGAAAATAGATACATGAATGCAAAAGATGAATTGGATATTGGACCTGAGGATCATGATTTATAAAGTACAACAAGAAAACCTCTACGAAATTCTTCTGGGTCCAAGGCTTGCTCGGACCACCTTTTTCTTTTCGTCTGCATCTTTATGCTTCTTCCCCTTCAGTTTGGGCAAGGCCATGCTCCAAGATGCCTCACAGCCAGATCCTGCCATCATATTAGCTATGTTCCACAAGTAAGGAATATCAACTTCCGAGTAGAAAGTTATTGTTTCTCCACTCCTCCCTGCTCTGCCAGACTGACCTATTATGGGGCTCCATGAAGGCATAAACTCAGTCTCAGACCAACAAAGAAACTTTAATGCAATGCGTGCACCAACTAATAGAAGCCAACTGTATCAAGTTTACAGAAAATCTATAGAAAAAATTAGTAAGGATAGTTTGGTGGTTTTTATCATATTACAGGACTTTGAAAGCTAGGATTAAGTACTTACACAATTTCCTAGAAGTTGGCATAAACATTTTCTGTTGAACTCAAACAAATAAGTGAATGACAAAGATTTTGGTTAGGCTAAGAATCAGGTCACATACCAATTCTGTGAATGTATGCAGCAGCAGAATCTGGAAAATCATAATTTATCACACAAATGACACCCTTGAAGTCCATACCACGAGCAATAACATCAATAGCAATCAAAACCCACGTTTTGCCAGCTCTGACATCATTGACGCCATTTTCATGCTGTTTTCAAATAAAGAGATAAGCATAAAGTGAAATACAGTAGTTAAAATTACAAACATAAATGATCATCATATAAAATGTCCAGATGAGAATCATATGCAGACAATAGAAGCCATGCATCAAAATCCGTTTTAGTTTCAACAATCTATCTTAGAGACTTGCTAGGATGCTCCTAACACTCACAATCCCAACAGGCAGCTAAACTAAAGGTGTGTAAAAATCGGGAACAATATCTCCATCAGCAATCTTGTATTACAGTAATCTCTTCAGTAGAACAATTTGGAGGTTAGAAAAGGATACAGTCCAGTATAGCCAATGATAACGAAAATAAGAATACCTGTGATTGGAACAGATCAGAATGGATGACATCAACTCTAATATCATCAAATTTCAGTTCTTCACAAAGTTCCTTTGCTCGTTCCTTGCTTTGCACAAGGACTAATACTGGTGGGTTCAGACTCTACTCCCAGCACATAATACAACAAACAAGGAAGGCAGTCA